TGTCATCCTTCAGCAGTCTCTTCTTCACCGCCCTGACAGCCTCTGTGGTGGGGATGCAAGTGAACAAGGATGTGACATCATATGAGACCATGGTCTCGTCCTGCTCCAGCTGCAGTTGTTGGACTTTCCTTGCGAAGTCCTGGGAGTTTATTATGTGGTGCTGTGTGTTTCCCACCAAAGGAGCCAGGATGGTGGCCACGTGTTTGGCTATGTTGTAAGTCATGGAGTTGATGCTGCTGACAATGGGTCTGAGTGGGGCTCCTTCCTTGTGTATTTTGGGTAGGCCATAAATGCAAGGGATGGCCTCCCCCTACTCCTGTAGTATAGTCGCCGGTCAATAACTGATTTTATATTATAGAGAATGGCATATTTTGGGTCTTGGACTGTTGATTGGACAAAACAAATATCACCTTGGGCTCTAATGGAAACTGTGACCAGCAGTTTTTTGCCATTTCATGATATTTTACAGAGGAAAGAAATTATTGGTTTATCAAAAATGTAATTAGCACATTAATTTAAAATACAAGTAACATTTAGTTGTAGTCCACAAAGACCAATAATCTGACCAAGCATTTGACGCCGTCTGTACATTGAAGTATTGAGGTTTAGTCTGGATGTAGATTATTTTAAACTAGTTTAGATGATATAATTTTCTTCAGCATCCAGACAGAATATTATTTTATTTTCTGTTGTTTCTAGCATTTTTATATCAGGAAGCAGTTTGGTCCAGGTGACCTTTCCTGAAATACTTCACTATTTTGAGACTGAAATGTTTTGTGTCATCAACAAGATTAATCTGTGGATAACTTATTGACTTTTTCTTTCATTGGTTAAGAAGCGTATAATGTGGTCAGGATGGAAAGTTCCTTATCAGTCATTTTTATGTCCAATATCTAAATAGATTTTTTTTGTTGTTGTTTGGAGTGCCTCCCCCCACTGTCTCATGATCCCACATCAATCCACACTGAGCTGTAGATGGATTAAAAACTTGAAAAGGCAGCTTTATCTGAGGATATCAAGAATCAAATAGTCCTGGGTTGCAGATTTCTGGATGGCATCACACAGCACACAGGCTCTTTTCCTATACTTTTGTTTGCTATTTTCCTGAGCACTGTGCAAGCGATAATATTGAAATGGAAGGAGTATCAGACCACTGCAAATCTACCAAGACCTGGCCGTCCCTCTAAACTTTCAGCTCATACAAGGAGAAGACTGATCAGAGATGCAGCCAAGAGGCCCATGATCACTCTGGATGAACTGCAGAGATCTACAGCTGAGGTGGGAGACTCTGTCCATAGGACAACAATCAGTCGTATACTGCACAAATCTGGCCTTTATGGAAGAGTGGCAAGAAGAAAGCCATTTCTTAAAGATATCCATAAAAAGTGTCGTTTAAAGTTTGCCACAAGCCACCTGGGAGACACACCAAACATGTGGAAGAAGGTGCTCTGGTCAGATGAAACCCAAATCGAACTTTTTGGCAACAATGCAAAACGTTATGTTTGGCGTAAAAGCAACACAGCTCATCACCCTGAACACACCATCCCCATTGTCAAACATGGTGGTGGCAGCATCCTGGTTTGGGCCTGCTTTTCTTCAGCAGGGACCGGGAAGATGGTTAAAATTGATGGGAAGATGGATGGAGCCAAATACAGGACCATTCTGGAAGGAAACCTGATGGAGTCTGCAAAAGACCTGAGACTGGGACGGAGCTTTGTCTTCCAACAAGACAATGATCCAAAACATAAAGCAAAATCTACAATGGAATGGTTCCCAAATAAACATATCCAGGTGTTAGAATGGCCAAGTCAAAGTCCAGACCTGAATCCACTCGAGAATCTGTGGAAAGAACTGAAAACTGCTGTTCACAAATGCTCTCCATCCAACCTCACTGAGCTCGAGCTGTTTTGCAAGGAGGCATGGGCAAAAATTTCAGTCTCTCGATGTGCAAAACTGATAGAGACATACCCCAAGTGACTTACAGCTGTAATCGCAGCAAAAGGTGGCGCTACAAAGTATTAACTTAAGGGGGCTGAATAATTTTGCACGCCCAATTTTTCAGTTTTTTATTTGTTAAAAAAGTTTGAAATATCCAATAAATTTCGTTCCACTTCATGATTGTGTCCCACTTGTTGTTGATTCTTCACAAACAATTACAGTTTTATATCTTTATGTTTGAAGCCTGAAATGTGGCAAAAGGTCGCAAAGTTCAAGGGGGCCGAATACTTTCACAAGCCACTGTACACCTGCCTTTGCCTGCTAGAAGGATTGTGATGGTTTCATCCTCCTCTAGTGCAGCTAAAGCCCTCCTTTCCTCGGGGGTAAGGTTCAGGGGTGGGAGCTTGGCATTTGAAACTAAGCAGCCGCTTCACAAACACACGGCCCAACACAGGAGGGCCAACTCCAGTGGACCAGAGTCAGCAGTCCACCTCCACCTGAAGGACAAAGGACATTCTTTTGAGGACAGTGAAGTTCAGATCCTCCCCAGAGAACATCGCTGGTTTGAGAGAGGAGTTAAGGAAGCTATTTTTGTAAATATTAGACACAACTTGTCTTCCATCTACAACCCTGTTTTGAGATCTCTGCCCAAACATGCCCACCAGGACAATAGGCGTCGGTCGACAGGGGAGGATTCAAAGACAGGTAAGTTAAAAAATCCAGCAGAGACACAGGGCAACAGTAGCATCCATTTGGTGTCATGTTGAACCAACTGGCAACTGAAACTCTCCTTTTAGCTCTGTTTTTGGTCACCACCAATTTAGCTAGGTATATACAGTATGTTCAACTTGTTTAGCTTGGTTTAAGCCAGTTGCACATTTATTTATGTGCTGCTTGGCACTGGACATGTAGCATTAAAAAAACCCTTTTGACTAAAATGGCACTCCTGAGAGCAGTGGGACTAAAACAGGAAAGTTGCAAATCAGAAAAACAAAAACTGAAGTGAAATGCTCCAGAAACTTAGGACTTGACTTGGATTTGCCCTCCACAAAATTTAAAAACAAGTCAGCAAGTAATGATTTTACAGCTTATAAAAAATTAACCCTTAAAAGTGTGAAAAATCCTTTAATGTTTAAGCAAACCATTAGTACAGACCTAATGCTGTGTTATGATGTAAAATGGCTTGTGGCCACCAGAATGCAGTGTGATTCTATGCAGTCAAAGACTCAAAAGATGGGACAATGCAACAGCTCTTCATGGATCAGTGTGTTCCAAATTAATCTCTTTTCTCCTCTCACCTTTGTTTTATTAGGTATATAAACGAGGGGGCTAGAATATAATGGTGCAACAGCAGATTTTATTTTTGTCCACAGCTACTTCCCCCTGCTTGTCCCATATTTGATTAAAAGAAAAGCCTAATACATAAAATTGGAGCAGTTGTCATTTCAGACACATTTCAGACGCATCCACAGAGATGCTGTGCTGCTGAGCTGGCATGTCTGGGGCGGGGGTGGGGGTGGGGGTGATGGAGATGACAAAGCATTTTCTCTCCCTTCACAACAATAAAAATGAAATTTAGTTCAGTGAAGCTTTACTAGCATGACACCTTGATCAAAAAGCATAATATTTAATGAATACATAAAAAAGAGTGACATGAAGTACATAAACAAATGGTTTTCCTTAAAGTGAAAAATATTCAAAATCAGAAACGGGGTTAAGAGAAGGCATCGCTGGGAGAAGCTCTGTGATGCAATTACATATGCTGGTTATGTAACAGTAGAAAGGTGTGTCCAGAGCAGCATGCCAATCATAATATGCAAGCATCAAGCCAGAGGCTGCGCTGAGCATGATTGAGAGTCATCAGTAGAACTATGAATGAGACTGGAGGGATGGCTGAGGGGTGGGGTTGCAGCAGGACTTGAATATGCTGCAGCATCCGGCCGTCTCACCTCCTCCTCCTCTCTCCATCTGGTGGATACTGGTTATTTCATCCCCTCTCTTTCTCTCAGTCTGCGTGCTATAGTCCTGCTGTCTAGTTCTCTCAACACTCTGTTGTTGCAGCAAAGGGAGGAGGAGCCACAGGCACGTACACACTCTGATATCTCACATCATCTTTTCTGCACGCTCACTGTAAGCACCAGCCAGCCAGCCAGGCCCATTTGGAGCAGGGGAGCCCAGCTGTCTCATTTCCCAGGATGGATGTACTGATGAAGGGGTTCTCCATGGCCAAGGAGGGGGTGGTGGCCGCCGCAGAGAAGACCAAAGCCGGCATGGAGGAAGCAGCAGCCAAAACCAAGGAAGGGGTGATGTATGTAGGTACGTAGCACGTCCTGTCTGTGAAGGTGCAGGAAAACAGGAAGTTTTTTATATGTGTGGTTGCATTATGTGAGTTGGAGTCCCATGGATGTCCATGTCTGGGACACTTGTGTAGAGTGAGAGAAACAGAGGGAGGAGGAGGAAGAAAGGAGGGGATAGAGTGAGCGGTGGCAGGATACTGGTGCAGACCTGGTGCAGGGCATAGGGTGGGGGCCTGAAGGAGTGAAGGACAGACAGAGGCAGAAGGGGGTTAGATGGAGAAGGGCAAAAAAAAGTTGTAACTGGGCAGCAGGACAGTAACTGGTGAAGGACTGGTCTGTAATGGGAAATAAGGAGCAGAAGAAAGCAGAAAAGACAGACACTTCAAAGTCTTGTGATGGCACTGCCTCTGCTTTAATCTACTGTCCTGTTTATTCATATTTATAGAACAATATGTAGTTGTCCGGTGACAGACTCAACGCTGCGACCAAGTCCCCAGGGACTCAATTTAACAGCCCTTTTAAAATGCCAGAATAGAGCTGACCTACATTTAATAGGCTGCTATGCATTTTTGAGGTATAATCACAAATGTTTTAAAGGAAATGTAAATAAAAGTGTAAGTATATGAGGACAGAGCAAAAATTCTTCTATTTTGTAAAGATGCTTCAGATGCTCGGAAGCTTTGTGGTCCTGCTGTAGTCTTCTGTAGTTTCATATTAGCTCAAGCAGCAGCTGCGTCACATCCCAAGGTTACCCAGCGCACCAGGATTTTAGGCCGCCAGAGTAGGGTGGGTGAGGAGAGAACAGAGTCGACATCTTTGTCGTCTGCAGCCCGTCTCTTCAGCTCTGTGACTGACTGCCACACAACAGGTTAATCAAGATGATTGGGGGGGTGGGGGCAAAGATCATTTGAGCACTGCAGCAATTGCTCTCCCATCACCCTCCTCCCTCCCCTCCCTCCATCCTCACCCCAGTCTTGCATGGATGCAATAACGTGTGTTGCAGCAGCGGGATTTGTCTGCCAGCACTGCTTCAATGACTAACCATCTTCTTTCCCCAAAGCTCTTAAAACAACCCATGAGGAAAAATGAATGGTTGGAAGGATGCAGGGGAGCAGACAGAGAGAGAAAAAAGGGGGGAGACAGAGGGATGTTATGTCAGAAAAAGCTTTGTGGTTCTGGTCTTGTGGCTCCTGTTTGAAGAGATGGAAGGACAGAGACAGAAGAGAGACAGGTAGTGATGGAGGGATGTACAGGCTTGTCAC